CTGTCCCCTTGACACTTCGGATTGGCTCGCCTGCCTATGTCTATACATCTTATACATCACCGCCTTTGGCTCTCTGCCTCGCCACCACCATCATTCAACCGCGTATACCAGCATCCGTCAAGATGTCGATTTGGGCTCGGCGTGCAACCTGGCTGGCGGTGTTGATGGTGTGGCTGTTGGTGACGGCAAGCGCAGCCCCGCTTTCGAGCTCTGCATCCACAACGACATCTTGGACCAGCATCGAGAGTGCGACCTCGACATCGCTGACGAGCAGCACACCCTCTTCGTCACCTAGCATCGAGAGCACATCTTCGACATCGCTGCAAACGAGCAGCACTTCCACATCGTCCAGCTCGAGCGCACCGGCATCTTCTGCGGTATCAACTTCGTCTTCCACCTCGATATCGTCTTTGTCAAGCACGGCGTCGGTGGTGCGAATGGCTTCGTCCACTGAGCTCGCGAGCACGACAGTATCTCGTTCACAGGAGAGTCGGTCTACGCCTTTGCGATCAAAAGCGACCCCGGTGCATGCAACTACTTCACACAAGTCCAGCACGCATCGCGAACATCCAACTAGTGTTCGCGCCAGTCGATCGACCAAGCCCAAGCCCACACGCTCTGTTCGAACCAGATCTGCCAAACCCACTCGTTCCAAAACGAGCAAACCCAGTCGCACTGTCGCACCAAAGACACGTACAGCCACGCCGAAGACACGCACATCCAAACCCAGTACCACACATGTTTCGGCTTCCCAGACGCACACGACGCACCTTCACAGCAGCAAGACTCACACCCACTTCGCTTCGCCTACAGCATTCCATCCCAAGGGCGGCAATATCGTTGCGGATCCTGTACCCGGTTCGACGTGGGAGAAGGTCCGAAAGATCCTTTTGATCCCACTGTGTATCGTCACCGTACTTACCTTCATCGCCGGCGTCGGGCTGTATGTCGCGGCGACGTGGGGAAGCGGTGAAGGTTGGTTCGAAAAACGACTCGCCGCTGCCAACTTGGACGAAAAGGGCCAGACGATAGGTCCCGGTCAGCCAGACGTTTTCCCGCAGGAAAAGTTCGCGACGAGCAACAAGGAGCGGGAAAGCGGTCAATTCCAGTTCAAAGCCCCGTCGGTACACGATCAGCCCCCGCCCCAAACTTAGATCCTCGTGTCACTGTTGCCGTTCAATGCCATTTGAACCTTGAATGCCAAAGAGTAGGGTAGTGACGAGTGGAATGTGCAAGATCGGAACCCCCCCTAGCCAAAAAAAAACAAAACAACAAAAAAAAAAAAAAAAAAAAAAAAAAAAAAAAA